AGCTCCCTGCATACACCGGCTCCCATGGAGCCACCTGGCCCCTGGTCCCCTCCCCCCCAGGGGAGGAGATCAGGTAGCTCCACAGCTGGCTCCTTGTGCCTGCTGGCTCCCGCCTTCCCCTCGCCTCGCTGCTTCCTCTGATACAGAGGCAGCAGTGTGGGGGGGCATCCTTCATGTAACCATGTACATGTATACACTATCACATCCCTAGTAACTATCAAGTGATTCATACTTTGTTTCCCATTCCCAGTTTCTGACAAACAAAAGCTACGGACATCATTCCTGCCCATCCTGGTTAATAGCCCCTGATGGACCTATCCTCCATGAATTTATCTAGTTCTTTTTTGAACCCTGTTAAAGATCTGGCCTTCACAACATCCTCTGATAAGCAGTTCTGCAGGCTGACTGTGTGTTGTGTGAAGAAATATTTCCTTTTGTTTGTTTTAAACCTGCTATCTATTCATTTCATTTGGTGACCCCTAGTTCTTAAGGGAGCAAATAAATAATTTCCCCTTATTTACTGTCCTCGCCTCAATCTTATCCCCTTTTAGTCTTCTCTTTTCTGAGCTGAAAAGTCCCAGTTTTATTAATCTCTCCTCATATGGAAGCTGTTCCATAACCCTAATCATTTTTGTTGCCCTTTTCTGAACTTTTTTCCAGTGCAAAGATACCTTTCCTGACATAAAGCAATCACATCTGCATGCAGTATTCACTGTTTGCTTTTTTGACTGCTGCTGCATATTGAGTGGATGTTTTCAGAGAACTATCCACAATGGCTCCATGATCTCTCTCTTGAGTGGTAACAGCTAATTTATTCCCCATCATTTTATACGTATAGTTGGGATTATGTTTTCCAATATGCATTTCTTTGCATTTATCAACATTAAAATTAATCTACCTTTTGTTGTCCAGTCACCTGGATTTGTGAGCTCCTTTTGAAGTTCTTCATGGTCTGTTTTGAGCTTAATTATCAGGAGCAGTTTAGTATCATGACACCTCTCTTTTTACCCCTTTCTCCAAATCATTTATAAATATGTTGAACAGGATTGGTCCCAATGCAGTCCCCTGAGGGACACCACTAGTTACCTCTCTCCAGTCTTAAAATTGACCTTTTTTTTTTTTTACACGTTGTTTCCTGTCTTTTAACCAGTTATCAATCCATAAGAGGACCTTCCCTCTTATCCCAGGACAGCCAAAAAACAACAAAAACCCCCACGCAATCTGAAAACTGTAGTTTTGTTTTTAAACCTCTTTTTTCCTAATTCCCTTCCAACTCTCTTTTCCACTGAACTGTAAAAAAAACATACATACAAATAAAATATTTTGTTTCAATCAGTATTAAAATTTGTCTGTTCAGTTTGCTTAAAATGAATTTTTAATTCCTTTAAATGAATTTAAAAAATAAATGTTTTCCTTCATTTTTTTCCATTTAAAAGAGTTTGATTAGCTCTCCAAAATATATTTAGGGTTTGATTCACCAGAGTATTTCTCCATTCTGACACTAGTACTGGTCCAATGAGATCTACTGACAGCATATTTCAAACTCAGTCCCTGAGTAAGTATCTAGTAGTTTGGCATTGGCAGCAACTGCAGCGCAGTTTATCTTTGGGTGAGGGAAGCAGCCATATAAACACACTAGTGTATTCCATAGCATGGATGGAGTCACAGAAATTTTAATGTAGACATCTCTGGCTATGTCCACACTACAAACATCTATCGGAAAAAGGTATGCAAATTGGAAAAGCCTCTTCTTTTGGAAGAGCCCTTCTTCCTCATGGGAGGAGGAATACAGGGCTTCCGAAAGAGCCCATCTGCTCTTCCACAAAAAAAAGAAGAGGAAGAGCAGATGCATCCCCTGGACGCAGCGGAGTTTTTCCGGGATACCTCTGGTATCCCAGAAAAACCCCATAGAGTAGACATAGCCTCCCATAACAGCTCCACTTGCGGTAAAGTTCAACAGTATGTGCAATCAAAGAAGAGGGGGCCCAAGTATCCCTCCCTAAGATTTCCCATTATAAAATAAAATAGTGGGCCCTACCTTCCATTTCCAACTGATCCAAATTACACACTAGGGATGTAAAGGACTAGTTGAATATTCGCTCCCCCCACCATTGCTATCTCTATCAGGGGGTATTTAAAAGCGGCAGCACTGCATAGAACCTGGGCTCATGTGGGGAATCCCCAGCTGACCAACGTGCCAGCTTTGAAATGTATAAGAGTCCCCAGTGGAGGCTCTTTGTGCATTTCAAAGAGGAAGTGCAGCATTCAGCCTGGGGGCAGCTGACCCTGGGCTCCATGCAGCATGCCAGCTTCCCATTGGGGCTCTTGTACATTTCAAAGGCAGAAGGCACAAGTGCTTAACGACTACTCGAGTAGTAAATTAATCGCTACTTAACATCCCTATTACACACACTGTGATGATGACTGAAGATAATGACAAGGCTCCCAAAAAAGACAACTAAACAACTAACTTCAAGGGTAGTGAGGAGGAGGAAAAGCTGACATGAAGGAAGAAGTACACCCTTACACCAATATGGAAATAAGCTAGTTTAGAATCCAGCATACATCAATGTTGCAATACTGACACTGCCAGTAACAACTCCAAATCAAAGGCTTTGAAAATACTATGGAGAAGTCCAGAAATTTCAAGACAAAATCTACCCTTTTTTTGTCATCTTAAAACTTTAAAAATGGGAGAGCACTGTTGGTATTGTGGTCAAAGTAAAGGATTAGGACCCAGGAGTTCTAGGAACAGTTGCTGGCTTTGATTTAAAATTTCTTCTGTGACATCGTCTAAATCACATTCCCACTCTGTGTGTCAATTTCCTCATCAATAAAATTGGATCAAGGATGTCCTTCCTGGAGATGTTTTGCTTCATTAAAGTATTCTGAGATTCTCTGACATAAGGTATCTCTGCAAAACAACAGTGCAACCTGACCATATTCTTTCTGTATTCCTGTTACTGTATGAGAGAACATACTGAGAACAGTTTAGAGTTTCTCAGCTGCTTATTCAGCGGGAATTGAGAATGCTGCCCTTTATAGGTCACTTATGCATTAATATTGAAAACTTCTTGGCCTGGACATGCTCCTGTCTAGAATGCAATTCTATATTTTGTCACACCACATCTGCTTACAATGTGATGCCACATTGTGCATGTTTGTTAAACACGGATTAAAGGTATTTCTTAGAAATAAGGCACATTTTAAAAATATTTAATTACTGTAATAGTTTAAATCATTTGTTATGCAACTTGCATTTTGGATTAAAATTCAGAATTCAGAGTCTCAATCTATTTATGAAAGAGAGGTTTTCAACAATTATTTATAACATCTCAGGAATTACTCCCCTTCCACCTATATTCAGAATAAGCCAGCCTTCAAAAAGCTCAGCTGGAATCAACGTGCTGAGTGGTAAATCTTAGAGGACTAAGTCATGCAGCTACCTGGAAGAAAAAGAATCCTTCATAGAGTATTTAAAAATGCTAAATGGCCCGGGAAACTACTCTGAGATTTCTCATGCTCAGATCCTCATTTTCTCTTGCATGGTCATCTGTGGGACAGCTCTGGAAAACAAGGCAGCCATTTTCTCTTAAGCTGTTACACTCAGCAAACCAGATTGAAGTGCTTGATAAGCCGCTGTTCTCTTCCGAGCCTGCAGCAATTGGAGGGGAAAAACAACCAATCAACCACAAACAGGTAGCAACCACATCCATTTTTGTTCTTGCCTGATATGACTCACGACTCCACAGATGGGGACCAGGAGGGGGAGGAGGGAGGAAAGGGAGGCCTGGATACAGACAAATCAATATGCATGTTAATACTGGCCCAGCCTTATTTGACTGACTGGTTTTACGGTTTATCCCTGTAATGCCTTAGCAACTGAGATTCCTTTTAACACTATGTTTGCCTCACTTTCATGTCTTTTGGGGGAAAAATAATGCTGTATAAAATACTTTGCTGTGCTGTACACCCTTTTGTCTAAGGACGGCTCTAACAATGCTTTACACAAACATAAATTAAAGAGGCCTTAAAAAAAAACACCACCACACACCCCACCCTGGGTTAAAAGCCCAGAAGGAAATTTATTAGGACACACTAGACACATACCCATATGTATACCTGTGGTCACATTTTCAGAAGTGCTTTAAGATTTTCAATGTCCAGCTTGAGACAATGTAAAGAGACCTGATTTTCAAAAGCGCTGTGCACACGGGCTCCATTAAGAGTCTCCAAAACCACATGCCTACCCCTCTGAACATTTAAGCAGAATGTGATTTTTACATACACCCACACTCTAACTACAGGATGAGAAGCAGTAATCCCTTTAGTTAGATCGCCTAACACTTTCCTTTATAAACATTTTCCTGGCCCTTTGATAAGAGTAGCAAGTAACATCTCCATAGTTTACAGCAGAGCCTTGAAATCTGGTGGTGTGTAGACCTGGAGTCAGGAAGGTGCCCTGTGCAGTTGCCACAGTAAATCTGATCAGATTTAATCACATTGTAAACTACTAAAAAGACACCATGTCCCACTCCTGTTTTTCTTAGAGTTTACTAGCAGCTGGCTGCAGAGCTGGCCCAAGCTACGGGCTGACCGGGCGATAGCCCGGGACGCCCTATTATAAGGGTGCTGCGCAGTGTTGCCGGGCTACGCATACGCCGTGTGCCCGGGGCGGGGCCACATATGCGCCGGGGCCGGGGGCACAAGCATGAGCCACGCGCCTGGGGGCGGGGCCGCTCATGAGTTGTGTGCCAGGGGTGGGGCCGCGCGTCCGGGGTGCAAGAATGGCTCGGGCTGGCTGCTAAATTCCCTCAATGTTCCATCAGCACCCTGCATGGACTGCCCCCATAGGCAACTGGCAAGGGGCCTCCCACTACCTGACAACCCTCTCAGCATGAAGAAGGGCAAGGACAATCTCCTCTGCATAAGGCCCCCGCCTCTCTTTGCCCCTGCTCCACCTTCTCCCCACTCTTGCTCTGTCCTCTCTCCTCTTCCCTGCCTTGCTCACTCAACATATGCTAGTTCTGAACCTTGGGCCACAGAGGAGGTCCAGCCCCGCTGCACTCACTGGCAATGCCAGGAGAAACTGAGCAATGTGGCCCCAGCTCGTGCTGCTCTCCACCACATTTCTCCACTTCCCGCTGGTGAGTGCAGGGGCAACCCCCCCACCCCCCGTTACTCTGAGCAATGCACTAGGAGAGCAGAGCAAGTTGGGGCCACGTTGCTCTGCTTCCCCTATTGCTGCTGGTGAGTGCAGGAGGGACTGGAACCTTGCTATGTGTGCTAGTCTCCCCTAGATGTCCAGAGACTCCTGCCCCACCAACTGGACTCGATGACCTCTTGAGGGGGGCTGGACTCGATGACCTCTTGAGGTCCCTTCCAGTCCTATGATTCTATGATTCTATGACTACTGGCCTGGCTCTTGTCCATGTGCTCCCCGTGTCACCCCTGAGTTCTTACTTCAGCATGCAAAATACATAAAAGTGCTCCAGAAAGGACACACAGACAAAATGGGTCTTCCAGGACTGGCCTGGAGTCTTCCAGAATGTGCATAGAAAAATCTCTAGAGATAGCTTCAGTCAGAGCTGGCAGCCCTACATTCTCAAAATGGAGACTTGTCACACTTCTTTCATTGCTACTTTACCTCTTTGGATTAAGAAGGAAAAGTACACTGGGTTTGGATCCAGGAGACCGTTCAAATCTCATTTCTTCTGTTGACCTGGAATAATTCTGTGCCCAACACAACCCTCATTAATGAAAAAGGCGTTGAGAAAAAGGCATTAATGAAAAACCCAGTGAGAGGTTATACAAATAGGAAGAAAGCCCTAAGAAGCTGCCAAATCTACACATGTGGCTCTTGAGTTTGTAAAATGCATATATAATTCACTATTTGGAGTTATGCATTTTTCTCTAGTGACTGGTCCACAGAAGCCAACAGTCTAATCCTACTGCCAACTATTGTAATTAATCTTTTAGTTTCAGAAGTCTGTGATACAGCACTTACAGGTCTAAAGCAGGATTTCCCAACCTATGGGTCGGGACCCAAATATAGGTTGCCATTACATTTCAAAAGGGTCGCCAGGTGTCTCCCCAGGTGGCTCTTAAGGAGCCAGCCACACATTTTTTTAATTGCCCTAGGTCACCAAGTCTTCCTGAATTGTCAAAATGGGTCCCCATCTGGAAAAGGTTGGGAACCGCTGGTCTAAAGCTTTCCGTTCTCTTGACAGCATATGGTAGCTGGTGGTGCGGACTAGTTTCACATAAGTACTTTCCCACTTTTCATAATACAAAAGGACCATTTGGGAGATTAAATACAAAAATCCAAAAAAGTCCAAAAAATGTTACCAAGATTGCCAACTCAACCTTAATTTTGCTCCCTTTTGTACATGCATTCACAGACAGTCTTTAATTGCATGATCATGCACTGCTCTTCCATCCTAGGAGATTGTTTTAATTATATCCCAACATTCCTTTATATTGTGGTTGGGATCAGACGGGACTATAAGTGATGGCATTATGCCAAGGATGAAGCCTGATAGTTTAGCAGTTTCCAGCATGTCTTATCATTGTTCTGTACTTGAAGTAGAGCACTGTGAAGCTCAAAAGATTGCATCTTTCACCAAGAGAAGTTGGTCCAATAGTAACATAAGAACAGTGATACTAGGTGAGACCAAAGATCCATCTACCAAGTGTCATGTCTTCTGACAGTGGCCAATGTCAAGTGCCCCGGAGAAAATGAACAGAAAGAGGTAACCATCTAGTGATCCATCTCCTATTCCCCATTCCCAGCTGCTGGGAGGCACCATATAAATTAGGCTAGAGGCACCATATAAATTAGACTGCCTCACCCACATTGTCCCTCTCTTTAAAATGGAAAGTGAGATTAAAACAAAGGGGGAGTCTGTATTTCAAGCATACAAATTCCATCTATTTTACAAGTTATGGAAACGTAAGAACATAAAATGGCCATACTGGGTCAGACCAAAAGTCCATCTAGCTCAGTATCCTGTCTGCCAATGGTGGTCAATGCCAGATACCCCAGAGGGAGTGAACACAACAAATAATCATCATGTGATCCCTCTCCTGTGACTCATTTTCAGACAGAGGCTAAGGACACCATTCCTATCCATCTTGACTAATAGCCATTGAAGGACCTAACCTCCATGAATTTATCTAGCTCTTTTTTGAACCTTGTTAAAGTCCTAGTCTCCACAACATCCTCTGGCAAGGAGTTCCACAAGTTGACTCTGCGCTGCATGAAGAAAAACTTCCTTTTGTTTGTTTTAAATCTGCTATCTATTAAACGTAGCTGACAACTACAATTATTGAATGAAGACAGTTTTCATTATCCTGACTGTGGCTTTACCTCACTCTGATGATGTTTCCCCTTCCCCCTAAGAACACCTGTATCACAACTCTTTTTTGAGGGGGGAGGGTGACGCATACAGGAAATTAGAGTGATAAAGTATCCTTATTCCATTAAAATTCAAAATATGTAAAACCACAGTTCTAGAAATGTCATCCATACTGGAAATGTTTTGGGCTTTTTTCTCCCACACAGCTATTGCATCACATGCAATTATAAAAAATAAGCAAATAAAATCATTCACTTGTTTTTTATTCAATCCAATAGTATGAATTAGGCCAAAAATCAATATAACTTGAGCATTTGACACTCTTGTCTTAATATTTGAAACTCTTGTAGTATGATGCCATTTTCACAAGTTAAGACTATGGGTAAGATCCTCACTCATGATCCAAAGCCTTTACATAGATAAAAAGTCTGGAGCAATATAAAAGGACAATAAAAGCCTGGATATCTCCGTGGGAGGATTCCTACTGTGAAGAAACTGAGGAGACAGCCATAAGGCTGCCTTTCAAGAAATCCTCTGCAGGCCTAAGTGTAGGGTGTGTGCTGCAAACATGATTTGTATAAGAGCATAAGAACAGCCATACTGGGTCAGACCAAAGGTCCATCTTGCCCAGGTAATTATCCACTCCCTGTTGCTCATTTCCAGCTGGTCACAAACCAAAGCTAGCGACACCATTCCTGCGCATCCTACCTATCCTCCATTAATGTATCTAGTTCTTTTTTGAACCCTGCTAAAGTCTTGGTCTTCACAGCATCCTCTGGCAAGGAGTTCCACAGGTTGATTATGTGTTGTGTGAAGAAATGCTTCTTCTTGTTTGTTTTAAACCTGCTACCTATTAATTTGGTGACCCCTGATTCTTTTATTAACAAAGTACCAAACTTTGGTTCTACTATGGCTCAAACCCTAGTTTGACATTCTGCATGTAAAGTAAACATAGTAACCACTAAACTATAGAACCACTGTATATTTGAGGTAGGAGCAAATGGTGAAGAAGGACGCGGAGAGTAAAAGGGGGAACCAGCCATGTGATCACCACCACTCCGTGACTCCTCCCTGTGCCAATGAGGGAGGCTGGAGTCAACACCCCGTTTACACCAGACCTCGCCCTTGCCTCGCCTCTTCCCACCCATGCTCTGCACCCGACCTCCTCCCCCGAGCAACACATCCCAGGAGGAAAAGCAGGGAGCTTGGTGCCAGCCAGAGGAAGTGGCATGATGCAATCTGAGCCCTCTTCCCTCCTCTACTAGCTGCGTTGTGCTATTTCTCACCGATGATTGTG